CCCTCAGTAGAGTGCTATGGCATCACAGCTCACAGCAACTTCAGATTCTTGGGCTTAAGTGGTTCTCTTTCCTCTGTCTCCCAGTAGCTGGGACTACAGGTGCCTGCCCCAATGCCTAGCTATTTTTTTGTTATTGTTGTCATCGTTTGGCAGACCCTGGCCAGGTTTGAACCCACCAGCTCTAGTGCATGTAGCTGGTGTCCTAACCACTGAGTACGCGCTCCTTGCCTCTTTTGTTTGACATCGCCAAGCACTGGGAGATGACCTTGGAGTTGCTGGTTCTGGTCCCTAATATATTTTTGTTTTTTTTACGTACTTGTAGAATTGTATTTGTGAACTAATCAGGTATCTGCTGTATCAGGTTTAGCAAAGAAATTTTTTTCCTGGTTTAAGTGAGAGTGAAGAAGTAGATACTGTTTTGATTTGTGTATCCCTAAACAGTAAAGGGAGATGCCAGGGTGTGTTTGTAATGACAGCACAGAGCAGTAGTCAAGAGCTTCAGCTTTTAGAGTCAAGCTGCCCATGCTGTAGTTTGTGCATTGCCCCTTGCTGGTGGTGACTCTTGGCAAATTAGTTAACCATTCTGTGCTTCAATTTCCTCTTCAAAATGGGCATATTTGGGCTCTGCATCTGTAGCACAGTGGTTACGGTACCAGCCCCATACACCAAAGGTGGCAGGTTCAAACCCTACCCAGGCCAGCTAAACAGCTGCAACCAAAAAATAGCCAGGTGTTATGGTAGGCACCTGTAGTCCCAGCTACTTGGGAGGCTGAGGCAAGAGAATCAGTTAAGCCCAAGAGTTTGAGGTTGCTGTGAGCTGTAACACCACAGCACTCTACTGAGGGCAACATAATGAGACTATCTCCAAAAAAAAAAATGGGTATATTCAGTAGTAGCTAATGTATAGAGTTGTTGAAGTATGAAATGTGATAATCATTGTCACTCAGTATAGTGCCTAACACATGGAAAGTTCCCACACTGATTGAAGGTCATTGTTCTACTAAGAGCCTTATGTGAATATCATACCATAATGATTACATTGTAGTCCACTGGTGAAAAGTGACACCCCCCCCAAAAAAAGGATTTCTCAGAGTGAAAAAGACTATAATTTTAAGTTCACCTTCTGCTGGGGGAGTGATTGTTCTGTTTACAAATAGTGAGATTAGGCACTTCATTGACCTGCTTTCTTTATATGTGAACAGTGTTATTTTTTATGTGCTATATAAATAGCTAAAGGTTAATTAGCAGCATAACTATAAATAGTAAAGGTGCCAGTCTTCTTAAGGCAAAAAACTTTATAAAAAGTGGTTAGGAGGGCAGCACCTGTGGCTCAAGGAGTAGGGTGCCGACCCCATATGCCGGAGGTGGCAGGTTCAAACCCAGTCCCGGCCAAAAACTGCTTAAAATAAAAAAATTAAAAAAAAAAAAAAGTGGTTAGGTAGAATCCCTCTTTGAAAGTGGTTATGTCCCACTCTCAAAAGGTGTGCCAAAACCCCCCAACTGTGCCTATTCAGTGAGAGTATTCCACCCCCCCACCCCCCGGTGTTTTCTTTAAAGATAGAATAGGTAACTTTTCCTCTACGCTATCTATGGAGGTGACAGCCATCTCCTATCCAGCATCGTGGACACCCTCAGACCCCTTGTGAAGCTAAAGATTGTCAAAGAGAACCAAGAAGTTTATCTGGCACCAGTCAGACTGATAATGTCAAAATTAAGCGTAACTGGCAGAAATCCAGAGGTACTGACAACAGGGTTTGGAGAAGATTCAAGGGCCAGATCTAGATGCCCAACATTGGTTACGGGAGCCACAAGAAAACAAAGCATATGTTGTCTAGTGGCTTCTGGAAGTTCCTTGTCCACAGTGTCAAGGAACTGGAAGTGCTGCTGGTGTGCAACAACTCTTACTGCACAGAGATTGCTCGCGTTCCCTCTAAGAACTGCAGAGCCATCGTGGAATGAGCAACGCAGCTGGCCATCAGAGTCATGAGTCCCAGTGCCAGGCTGTGCAGCAAAGAAAATGAATAGATAGCTCGTTTACGTATTTTAATAAATAAAACCATAAAAACTGCCCCCCCCACCCCAAAATAAAGATAGAATAGCTTTACTAAATCTAAAACAACTAGATGCGCTCAGCACCTATAGCTTAGCAGCTAGGATGCCAGCCACATACACCAGAGCTGGCAGGTTTGAATTCAGCCCAGGCTTGCCAAACAACAATGGCAACTACAACAAAAAAATAGCTAGGTGTTGTGGTGGGCGCCTGTAATCCCAGCTACTTGGGAGGCTGAGGCAAGAGAATCGCTTAAGCCCAGGAGTTGGAGGTTGCTGTGAGTTGTGATGCCACAGTACTCTATCTAGGGCGACAGATTGAGGCTCTGTCTCAACAAAAAGTAAATAAAACAACTAGATGTCTCTGAGTTATAGAGAGATTCAGGACTTTGTAATTTATAAAATATTAATTTGGTTGCTGTCTTATAGCTTACATAAAAATTAATCTTCTTTTATATTTAGTCTGAGGACCCAGAAGAGGATGCCAGGTTAAAACAGTTGCAGGCTGCAGCAGCACACTGGCAGCAGCACCAGCAACATCGAGTTGGCTTCCAGTATCAGGGAATAATGCAGAAGCACACTCAGTTACAGCAGATTCTACAACAGTACCAGCAGATTATACAGCATCCTCCACATATACAGGTGAGTGCTTCCATAGTTTACAAATAGAAAGTTGCCCCAAGACATTTAAAAGATTTGTTATTTCTAAAAGATTTGAGTGTGAATAATTAGATGTTTCCTAGGAGTTGCCCAAGTAGTTAATCTGTCACATTACCTGCGGTATAGTGGAGTCTCCTGATCATGTCATCCGAGGCTAGGTGTTAGAGTATTATTGCTAAAGGATTGAGAGGCTGGGATTTGTCCATGTAGCTACAGGTTAACCTGTGTTTTGCCTATAAACCGCTACAGTAGCAGATAAGCAAAAAGGCCAAAAGAACCATCACAAAAAACCTAAACAAATATATCACAAAAGATAAAGCGACTTAGGTACTTGTCTCTTTTTAGGTATAATCTTGTGTCTGTATTAATAATGGATCATTTTTTCAAGTTCTCAAAATGCTATGTAGTAATAGTAAAAACTGGAAAAATACTGCTGAGATGGGTTTTTGCTTTAGTGTTTGGTTGGGTTTTTTTCCAACTTGGTAATAAGTTACAGAAGTAAGCCAATGGAAGAAAGGGGGCTTATCACTCAAAGAGTTGGACAAGCTTCTCCTTAGCTTTCCAGAGTCTTTAGTGTTCTCATTTCCTGAGGCTTCACATAGCTTTGATTCATTAATATTTTAACCTATGATTAATTCTCTTATTTAAATGTTTTGAAATCACTTTTTGCCTTTATTTGTAGACCATGTCTGTAGACATGCAGCTGCGGCATTATGAGATGCAGCAGCAGCAGTTTCAACATCTTTACCAAGAATGGGAGCGAGAGTTTCAGCTGTGGGAGGAACAACTCCATTCCTATCCTCATAAAGATCAGCTTCAGGAGTATGAGAAGCAGTGGAAAACATGGCAGGGACATATGAAAGCCACTCAGACTTATCTCCAGGAGAAAGTCAATTCATTTCAGAACATGAAGAACCAGTACATGGGGAACATGTCAATGCCACCCCCTTTTGTTCCATATTCTCAGATGCCTCCACCTCTACCAACAATGCCCCCTCCAGTGTTGCCTCCTTCATTGCCACCACCAGTGATGCCCCCTGCCCTCCCTGCTACAGTGCCACCACCTGGCATGCCCCCACCTGTGATGCCACCTTCTCTACCAACCTCTGTGCCCCCACCAGGGATGCCTCCATCTCTTTCTTCAACAGGGCCACCACCAGTTCTTCCCCCTTCTGCAGGGCCACCTCCAGTTCTTCCCCCACCATCTCTCTCTTCAACAGCACCTCCACCTGTCATGTCTCTTCCACCATTGTCTTCAGCCACACCTCCTCCAGGAATACCTCCCCCTGGGGTTCCACAAGGGATACCACCTCAGTTAACAGCAGCCCCAGTTCCACCAGCCTCCAGTTCTCAGAGCTCACAAGTTCCTGAGAAACCTAGACCAGCACTGCTTCCCACTCCTGTGTCTTTTGGTTCTGCCCTACCCTCAACTTACCACCCTCCATTGCAATCAGCTGTTGGTCCATCAGAACAAATGAATTCTAAAGCTCCTCTGAGCAAGTCTACTCTGCCATATGGTTCATTCTCATCCGAGCAAGGACTTGGGGAGTCTTCAGCTGCTCCGTCTCAACCAATCACTGCAGTCAAGGACATGCCAGTGAGGTCAGGTGGCCTGCTTCCAGATCCTCCTAGAAGCAGTTACTTGGAAGGTCCAAGGGGCCCAAGGTAAGTCTGTTTTTCTTTTCTTTCTTTCTTTTGTTTTTTTGTTTGTTTGTTTGTTTGGCTATTTTGTTGACTTAGGCTGCAATGGCCTGCTGGTATAAAGAGCTTCATTTATAGAATTTTATATTCCCTTTGTACTTTTATGTACACTCTTGGCTTACAATTAATGATGTTAATATTGTTTGCTTATTAAATATAATGTAATCTAGAAAAGGTACCATGCCTCTGTTTCTTTGTTGTCACTGCTTTTATCCTGTATGTAGAAATTACAGTCCATAATGAATGTAGTGTTGTAGATTAATGCTTTCATTTCTTACTGACTTTGCAGTTCACAAATAATGTTTTTGAGACTTATTATTTATCTTTTTGCTTTCATTTATTTAACAAATCATTGAATTGGCAACTACTGTTTGTTAGATTATGTGCTAGTTAGAGATGAAGATGAAGAGTCCAATATGCTACTGAAATAAGGCAATGAAATTTCATGTGAGGGTCGGTAGGACTTTTATCCATTTGTACAGCAAATATTTTTCCTGCGCAGCAGTGAATATAACAGAACTGACAGGATTTCAGCTTATATCCTTTGTATTTTAAAAGTATTAAAGTCATTTTTCCAAGTTTTTAAAAATACATTTTTCTCCCTATGTTGACCTAAATGATAATTTCCTAAATGATAATTAAAAAATACTTTTATTTGGATTTTTTTCCCAACTAGAAATTGTACTTATGTTATACAGTTAATTAATAATAATTTATACTTCCTCTACAAAATTCGGACATCACAGAAAAGTGTAGTGAAAGTCACCTAATTCCACCATTTGGAATAGTGGTGACTATTAGATGTCATAGACTAATAGTTATTTTTAAGATATCTATTATAAAAAAGGGATCATACAGAGTATATTGTCTTGTAACTTGTTTTTTCCAGTAATCTGTGTAGTGTTTAGGTTTCCATGTCAGTATCAATGGAAGTACGTCATGTTAAATTTAAACTTTATTTTAACATTTATCTTTTATTTGTTCCCCAAGTTTATAATTTGGAAAACAACACAGCACAAAACTCCATCTCAGATCAAAGCAAAGAGAAATTTAGGGGCAGTTAACATGAATTCCTCCTCTGTACCAAGAAGCCTTGCTAGAAACTTTGCGTTACTCTTGTCTTTTCAACAATGCATGAACTGGGCTGGTTATTCTGCATTTACCCTTTATAAACTAGAACTGAGAGGATTAGGAAGTAACTTGCTCAATCAGGATCACGTAGCTGAGAGAGTAGAACCCATGTCCACACCCAGGTGGAGCTGAATCTAGGAGGTCCCCAAAGCAAAAGCACCAATTAATCCATACTATCAGTGATTAAGAATACATTTATAGACTTGATTTATTTGGTTTGTGTATCATCTTCTTGATTTGAATTTTTATTTATTTCTTGGAATGAACATTGCCTTTTAGATCTAGTGACTAATTTGCTGTAGAAGAAGAATATTCTTAACTCCTCCTGAAACACATTTCCCTGCTTCCTTGATTTTTGTCATATTAATGTTTTATCTCTTTGACTACCAAATCTTGGCTTTGTAGGACCTGTTTAAGTTTTTTCTTACTTCACAAGTGCAGTTAATAATCACAGTGCTGAGAGGATCTTAGCAATTATCTAGTATGATATCACTCTACAGCAGCTCACATTCGTGTTGCATTTTAGTTTATCCGAGTGGGTCTTGCACATATTATCTTATTTATTCCTCTCAAATCTCTTGAAGTGAATAGATAAGAAATGCTGAGATTTGAAGAGTTTGTATTTTGCCCCAGATGACATTACTTGTAAATAATTGACATGGGATTAGAATCCAAGGCCTTCTGTTTCACTTTTACATCCTCTGTACTTCCTGTGACAGTCAGTAGATGAACATCCACTTCCAGAGTCAG